AGCATGGGTCCCACTGTGACCCGCCAGCGTGGTCGTGACAGCCACACTGGCGGGAGATTCATCTGTAAAAACTTGTATTTGTGGTCACAGTGGTGGCCCATGCTAACCTTCCTATGGTGTATAAATATACCTAGTTGGATGAATCTTACTATAGCCAGCTGGCGCAGTAGCTTGACGTGCTGACCTAGAGTTTTAAGACTCACTTGCCGCTAGTTCAATCCCCACCCGTACCGTGGTTTGTTTGCAATCCATATCATGAGTACAAGTACTTTCCTATATTCTTTCTAAATCTGAATTTATTCAACTGGAATCTTTGGCTCTGAGATCTTTATTGGTTAGATATTCTTAGCGTCCTCCTGTTCTTTGGTTAGACCCAATCTTCCACTTGTATATCTCAGTAATACCTCACATTACGTTCTTCAAGACACTGAAGGTTGGAGGCTCTCAGTCTGTCTTCGTATGAAAGATTCCCAATGAAGTTGATAAATTCTATCATCCTTCTTGTATGCTCAACAATGCATGTATATCCGTTGTGTACATATACAGTCCTTACTAATCATATTATTATAATCATAACTAAGTGGGACTTACTAATGATGTATAGAGCTGTAGTATAGCCTTTAGACTCCTGTTCCTCACACTTCTGGAGGAAAAGTCAATCTGGTAACCTTATTACACACACACACAGGGCCAGGAGCTATGAATCGACCCCTGCAACCACAACTAGGTGAGTACATACACACACACACACACACACACACACACACACACACACACACACAGCACTGCTGTCCTGGCTAGAGATTACTGCCTACCACAACTCCCAAGACTTTTTTCACATTCTGTATGATCAAGTTCTACATCACTTTTTCACTGAATTATTTTTATTCCCGTGGATTAAGACTTGTCCACAATGAACCACATCTGCCACTTTTCGGACCACTGCATTAGCTCAGCCACATCTTCTTGGAGTTTATAAGTATCATCCTCCGAATCTATTCGGTCTATTTTTGCATCGTCAGCGAATTTACTGACGTCGCTTCATATTCCCTCAGCAAGGTAGTTAATGTAGGTGAATAAGACACACGTAGAACACCTGAGACTGTATGGTGAACACTTAGACTGTGGGACTGATAACCTCGTCTTGTACTATCTCCTGTTTCAGCAGCTTCAAATAACCTCTGTATCGAATTGATAAAGTCACTGGTTCGCGAAACGTCTTCAGAATAAAGCTACTCAGGTGTTGCACATGTGTTTTAAAGCTACCCAGGTGCTGTACATGCGTTTTGAAGCTACCCAGGTGTTGCACATATGTTCCAGTCATCAAGTTCTCGGTACTGTGTACCATTACAGTGTCAGTAATGAATATTATAAACAAGAGACCCACGACTTATCCCTGTGGAACGCCACTCGTCAGCGGTCCAACATTCCGATTTCACTCTTCTTCATGTAGACACTTTTCTGCTACCTAGTCACTCAGCCATGACTAGATCCAGGAGAGGAGCTTCTCTCTTAACCTGGAGAGTTATTAAGCCAAGAAAGCCAAGCCAATATGGCTTATATCTACTGGGTTTCAAATCCTCTATCTCAGGATGCGACTCACAACAGTCTGGCTTAGGAACACCTAGGTACTTACTGCTAGAAAAACAGTAGCAGCAAGACGACTAACGCCCAGATACCTATTTACTGCTAGGTGAACAGGAGCCTGGTCACGGACCTGGCCGCGGGGGCGTTGACCCCCGGAACACCCTCCAGGTATAAGTGTAAGGATACATGCCCACTATCTCCACCCGTCCAGGGATCGAACCCCGGTCCTGCAATTGTGAACCAAAGGCGCTACCATTGAGCTACGAGCCAGTAGATGCTGTAATTTCTGGGAGATGTATTTTCAGTAGATACTGTATATTGTGGTAGTTGTATGATTGTAATATCATGGTTGGGTAAACGTAACTTCAGTGAATATAATGATACTGATCAGGTAGTTGCATATGTGATTTAAAGTGAATATAGGTGTGTACATAGGTTTGTTGAGTACTTACCACAGGTTGTTGCAAGAATGTTCAGTTATAATTTCTAGGTATGTGTACCCATTATAGTGTAAGAGTAATTGAATATTATAGACATGAGTAGAGCCAGACTTTGCACGCTGTTGTAACGCCACTCGTGGGAGTGTGTCAACTCTCTGATATAATCACTCTTCAGAAAGTGTACACTTCTGCACCATCACCACAGTACTAGTAGCCCAGGAGTTAAGGGAGCCTCTCACTGTGAGCTTACTGAAGCCAGAAAGCAACCATTGGCTGATCACTACTGGTATTGTAAAACCTACTTTCGTGTGCACTCACCCATTGTGTTGTACACCTGTACCTTAGTGCTAGTCACAACCCGTGTTAGCACCGACCTTGCGCACCTCACCCTTGTTTGCAGCTGAACCGTGCTGGTCACCACCTGGGCCGCGTGACCTTTGGCGTCACCTCACCCTGGATCACCTACCTTGTAGTGTAATGGTGACATCCCACCTTTCTCACCTCACCCGGTGACCACCGTCTGCAATTGTGATCAACGCTACCTTGTGCTGTCACGTACCCTTTGTGATTTCGGAGCTGATTTGTAGACTGTATATCTTGTAGTTGTCTGACTTTGATGTAGTATCATACTGTGTGGTTGTAATCGTAACTTTGTCTGTACCTCATTGTATTAGTATGACTTGATAGCTAGTTCATGATGTGATTGTACCTGACTTATGTGTGTACTCCCGTGTAGTCACTAGACTTTGTGACTAATACACTCACCAGGTCTGTACTAGATTGTGTAGTACTACCTTGTGTTGTACTGACTTGTGGGTACGTTCAGCCATGTGTTGTAACTGACGTGCTGTCACTATGTTTGTCAGACATTTGTGCTGTACTACTCATGTGTTGTACTTGACCTTTTGTGCTATCCCTACCCTGTGAGTGTTGTGCAGAGCCTTTCTGATCACCTCACCTCTCAGGTTGTCACTCTGACCCCCCTTTGTCTAGTCACCTCACCTTGTGTAGTCCCTGACCTTTGTGCTGCACCTACCCTTGTGTTGTCACCTGACCTTTGTGCTGTCACCTCACCCTTGTGTTGTCACCTGACCTTTGTGCTGTCACCTCACCCTTGTGTTGTCACCTGACCTTTGTGCTGTCACCTCACCCTTGTGTTGTCACCTGACCTTTGTGCTGTCACCTCACCCTTGTGTTGTCACCTGACCTTTGTGCTGTCACCTCACCCTTGTGTTGTCACCTGACCTTTGTGCTGTCACCTCACCCTTGTGTTGTCACCTCACCCTTGTGCTTTTGCCTACAGACTCGCACTCGCGTTAAGCTTATCATCACACAACTTTTAAACTGACCCAGTACACATTTCAAACCCCTATCTTCTGAAACTCACCCTTTAAAACCTATCCAACACTTCTTAAACCAACCCCAGAATTCCTTGAATCTGTCCCTCACCACCTTACACCCGTCTGCGATTCCACTCACTTTAACCTACGCCATAATTCCTTTAGCTAGTCTCTGGGTGCTCAAGCCTCTGTACCACACTAATAAAGCCTGCTGCGCAGACGAAACGTTTCTCAAGATACACAGGTTTCGTACATGTGTTTTATATTATACTAGTGACTTAATGAAACACAGAGGGGTTATATAGTATATAGCTGGTTATGACTACCTCACATGAGAGCAACAGAATAAACAGTGCAACACGTCTGTTTCAACCTCCCAGAAGGCCAGTGCAAACCTGACGCCTTTATCACCTTTGCCTTTCAAGGGAGGTACCTAAAGGCCAACAAAAAGACTATTGATTTAAAGGAATTGGAGCCTTTCCTCCGCGTTCTTGTGTTGAACCTGACTCTTGTCATTTCTCAGGCGTTATATAACCCCTACAAGTTTACCGCTTCCCCAGTGAATGTAACGATCATCGTGCACTCAACTCAGGTCACATTATGAGAGTCAGAATGTGTCCTTTGTAAGAGTTTTACTGGGCTGAAGATAGCTTCAACATAAGACTGAAATATACAGTAACCTGCTTCTAATTTCGGTGTAACAAGAGACTGTCTTCAGGCGACGAAGAGGTCTATAGACCGATTTTTTTTTTTTGCATTATCTTTACACTGTTTAATGAGGGGTTTGGGATATTGGCTGTTTGGAGTGACATCTGAAGTGTCGTATCTGAGCGCCTCTGCAAAGACAGTGACAGTGTGAATGATGGTGAAAGTGTTTCTTTTTCGGGTCACCTGCCTCGGTGGGAGACGGCCGACGTGTTGGAAAAAGTTATATATTAATATTATACTCATCTATTTGTGGTTGCAAGGGTCGTGTGTGTGTGTGTGTGTGTGTGTGTGTGTGTGTGTGTGTGTGTGTGTGTGTGTGTGTGTGTGTGTGTGTGTGTGTGTGTGTGTGTAGTGGTGAGTGGGTTCACTGGAGCAAGAAGCTAGTATAGTGTACATACATCACTTAACACGACTGTAGTTACTTGTAAGCTTCTCTCTCGCGTGAGCTTCATACGTTGCTTTCTCTTGCTTGTGTCACCCCTGGCGTGATGGTGTACCTTCTTAAGTGCTCTCTAGCTTTCACTCGCTCTCGCTTTCTTCCTGTGTATGTGGATATATATATATCTCTCTCTCTAACACTCAGGAATTGGTATTTTCTCCCATGCTTAGGCTCAAACATGATAACTTTAACATTCCCAGGCTCAGTGCTTTTAAATCCAATCGGCTATAATCATAAAAATAATTTTTAAAGAGTTGGAACCGTAAGCCAGTGGAAGGCCTCGGTCAAATGACCAAAAGTTTCAGCTGCGGGTCATCATATGACTAAGACTCGCGTCAGGAAACACTTGTCCTGTTTCCTGACAAACCTGGCCTAACCTAATGCTTACTAAAGAATAAAATGATAATAATAATATCCTATTTTAATGCTATGCATCATATAAGTTATGGTTTCTTGTAGATAATATAATTTTTGTCACTTCCTCAGATCTCAGTATGTCCCGGCAGTCTCTGGCTGCCTCGCAGTACGCCGTGGGTGGATACGGACCCATGGCCGTCAATCCCAACGCCTTCGGTATGGGAGGGCCCGGCTCCACCATGGGCAGCATGAGAGGACCTGGCTCCACCATTGGCAGCATGGGAGGACCTGGCTCCACCATGGGCGGCCTGGCGAGAGTGACGTCTCAGCGTAGTGACCGGCGCCGCCAGAGATCAAAGTCACGCGAGCGAGCAGAGTCGCGTCTCAGCCATGCTGGTTCCAGCCACTCCTTAACCGGTTATGACACCGATGGCTGGACCGACCACGACATGGACATCTACGTAGCCAGGAACCCCACCCGCAACGGTCTAGTCCAGCTCTAAACTCCAGGGTCTTCGACGGCTTGAAGCGTCTTCAAGTTAAGGGACTTCGATTACTCTCGATGGTTCCTGGGGCGCCGATGCTTCCCAGAGCTGTATTATCTTCCGGTCAAGAAGGGAACTCAAGTGTGAATTAAAGCAAGGAGTGATGCAGACTATTCTCCTTCAAATAACAGAACAAGGTACCTCCCGACAGAAAAGCAGCGTAGCTATGAACCCAGGTAATACTCTGGGTACCTTGATCATCAGACCACAGTTTCTACTTGCCTCTTATTGACGCTTCATACCTATCCTCACTTCCGAAGGCCAAGAAGCACAAGGCACGTGTGTGTTCATTCGAGATAGAAGACGAGTCAAGAAACACTGGTAGTAAGTTATGTCATGAGTTTCTCTCGCAAAGTTTGTATCAGTGTGAGTTCTGTTGTGAGACCAGAGCTGCAATGTTTTCCTGTGTCAAAAAAACAAAACAAAACACGACAGTGTTGATGCAGATAATGAAAGTGATTAAAAAGTAATACTCTGCTGCCAATTCACTAACTAGCGAGTATCTCACGAACAAGTGACGCGTGGACGAGGTGTAACTAGTGCTGACGCTAGAGTCATGCTGGTCTGTTGAATGACGAGTGTCAACAGCACCGAGTGATCCTGCTTGGAGATACAGAGCTGCTGTTGAGGGTAAAAAAAAAAAAAACAATCGAAAATCGTAGATTCTGTGTAGTGTTGTTGAACTTCTTGAGTTGCTGTGACGGCTGTGTTAAGGCGCCACAACAATGCTGTGATGACGGGGAGAGTGCTGTGCGTCACGGCTGTGTTAAGGCGCCACAACAATGCTGTGATGACGGGGAGAGTGCTGTGCGTCACGGCTGTGTTAAGGCGCCACAACAATGCTGTGATGACGGGGAGAGTGCTGTGCGTCACGGCTGTGTTAAGGCGCCACAACAATGCTGTGATGACGGGGAGAGTGCTGTGCGTCACGGCTGTGTTAAGGCGCCACAACAATGCTGCGATGACGGGGAGAGTGCTGTGCGCACGCGTGTTAGCGCCACAGCAATGCTTGATGACGGACAGTCTTAGCGTCACGTTCTTGTAGGCCAAACATCCATGCGATGACGGAGTGCTGTGCGCTCGCTATTAGGCGCCACAGCAATGCCTGTATACGGGAATGACTGTACGTACACGCTGTGTTAAGGCGACACAAACAATGCTGTAGACGGGAGAGTTGCTGTTCGTCTACGCTAGTGTTAGAGGCGCTCTACAACATACTACTGCATACGGAAGTGGTGGCACGGCTTTTAAGGCGCCACAGCTAATCTGTGAACGGAAGTGCGGCGCACGCTTATTAAGGCCCACAACAATGCTGCGATGACGGGAAGGCTGTGTCATCGGCTGTTTACGCACAGCAGCTGATGACGAATGCTGTGCGTCACGGCTGTGTTAAAAGCGCCACGCAATGCTTTGATGACGGGGCAAGTGCGTGCTCAGCTGTGTTAAGCCCACAGCAATGCTGTGATGACGGAGAGTGCGTTGCTCACGAGCTGTGTTAGGCCCACAACAATCTGTGACATTGATTCGGGAGAGACTGCTCAACTTGCTTATTTTATAGGCATGCACAGCAAGCTGTGATGACGGGGAGAGTGCTGTGCGTCACGTGTAAGGCGCTCAATACAATGCTGTGATGACGGAGAGGCTGTGCGTGACGCTGATGTTAAGGGCCACAGCAATGCTGTGATGACCTGGGAGAGGTGTTGCGTCACGGCTGTGTTAAGCGCCACAACAAGCTGTGCTGACGGGCAGTGCGAGGCGTCACGCTGTGAATCGGGCCACAACCATGCTGGAGACGGAGAGTGCTGTAGCTCACGCAGTTAAGGCGCACAAACAATGCGTGATGACGGGAGGTGCTGTGGATCACGGCTGGTTAAGCGCCACATACAACCTTGATGACGGGGAGAGTGGTGGCCCGACTCCAATTATTACATGTTTAACATTTAACGTCATCAGAGCAAATCTCACAATCATTTTCCGAATTATCTACGCTTAACTAATGTACTAACCTTATAAATATTAACTAACTGCTTACAAAAAGGCAAAGCTTAACGAGGTAGCTTTTAAATCTACCTATACTTAACGAGGGGGACTATTATATCCGTCTAAACTTAATGAGGGAAGCTTTTAAATCCGGCTTGATTTACGAAGACATATAAAGTTCGAGGCTATTCCTAAATAAAACCCGCTTTAGTTTTCCACACATCTATCTATCCCATGATATATTCTTGCTATAAAAGCGTTGCTACGAGATGTCAAAACTGTGACTATTTCGATTGCCGGGACAACTGCAAATAAATTCTTATATTTTTGCATTTTTAACGTTTGTAAATTAATTTGTATGTAAGTGTGTATATTAATGATTTGTGTATGGGTGTGTGAGTGTATTATATATTATCCATTCGAGTCTGTATACCTGGAGGGTGTTTCGGGGGTCAACGCCCCCCCGGCCCGGTCCATGACGAGGCCTCACGGTGAATCAGAGCCTGATTAACCAGGCTGTAAATATTTAACTAGACAGTATAAGCTGGACACAAGACAGGTTGTGAGGCAGGTGCTGTGTGGGATGGGCTATCGTCGGGTCACTGCTGCTAAGTCTACCCTTTTGTATATGGGGTGGAAAACCCATCTTACGATGGGGTTTAACATTTATCACGGTGAGTCAGTGGAAGGCATCCATCATTGATGACCAAAAGCCGCACTGAGTTGGTCACGTAACCAAAATTTAGTAATGTATACAGGAGAAGGGGTTACTAGACCCTTGCTCCCGGCAATTTAGTCGCCTCTTAAAACAGGCATGGCTTACGGAGAATGAATTATTTTCCACTTCCCCTTGGAGAGAAATGTGCACATGGTGACATATCAAATTTCTCTGAGCACGATAGGTAGTCACCGCTCATTATCCTCCCACTGAGCACCACTCACTAGCCTCCCACTGAGTACCTCTCACTAGCCTCCCACTGAGTACCTCTCACTAGCCTCCCACTGAGTACCTCTCACTAGCCTCCCACTGAGTACCTCTCACTAGCCTCCCACTGAGACCCTCACTAGTCTCCCACTGAGTACCTCTCACTTGCCTCCCACTGAGTAAACCCCTCACTAGCCTCCCACTGAGTACCTCTCACTAGCCTCCCACTGAGTACCTCTCACTAGCCTCCCACTGAGTACCTCTCACTAGTCTCCCACTGAGTACCTCTCACTAAACCTCCCACTGAGTACCTCTCACTAGCCTCCCAATGAGCACCTCTCACTAGTCTCCCACTGAGTACCTCTCACTAGCCTCCCACTGAGTACCTCTCACTAACCTCCCACTGAGCACCTCTCACTAGTCTCCCACTGAGTACCTCTCACTAGCCTCCCACTGAGTACCTCTCACTAGTCTCCCACTGAGTACCTCTCACTAGCCTCCCACTGAGTCTCACTCCTCCCCCTAGTCTCCATACTGAGTACCTCTCACTAGCCTCCCACTGAGTACCTCTCACTAGTCCTCCCACTGAGTACCTCTCACTAGCCTTTCCCACTGAGTACCTCTCACTAGCCTCCCACTGAGTACCTCTCACTAGCCTCCCACTGAGCACCTCTCACTAGTCTCCCACTGAGTACCTCTCACTAGCCTCCCACTGAGTACCTCTCACTAGTCTCCCACTGAGTACCTCTCACTAGTCTCCCACTGAGTACCTCTCACTAGCCTCCCACTGAGTACCTCTCACTAGTCTCCCACTGAGTACCTCTCACTAGCCTCCCACTGAGTACCTCTCACTAGCCTCCCACTGAGTACCTCTCACTAGCCTCCCACTGAGCACCTCTCACTAGTCTCCCACTGAGTACCTCTCACTAGCCTCCCACTGAGTACCTCTCACTAGTCTCCCACTGAGTACCTCTCACTAGCCTCCCACTGAGTACCTCTCACTAGTCTCCAACTGAGTACCTCTCACTAGCCTCCCACTGAGTACCTCTCACTAGCCTCCCACTGAGTACCTCTCACTAGCCTCCCACTAAGCACCTCCCACTAGCCTCCCACTGAGCACTGCTCACTAGCCTCCCACTGAGCACCTCTCACAACCAAGGTCCGGTGTACAAATAACCCAGTAACAATACTGGTGACTCAGTGCTCTCCCGAGTCAACGTTACTTCTACCTTCGTGTGACTTAGATAAGAGAGAGATCAGAGGTGAATGTTTATAATGGGAAATTCTTCGTTATACAAACAAAAACTCAACACCTTGCTACAATGTATATACCTAAAAAAAGACATGAAGAAAAAAAGAGGTGGAGAATATAATTTATGTGTTGATGTAAACCGTTTAAAACCAGAAACAGACGAAGTAACAAGAGTTGTAATATGGGAGGCAACCTCAGATAAAGGTTATTAGTGTGTTAAACTATGGATAACTTAACAGAAGCAAAAATAAGTGACTTCACCGTCTCAGCAGGGAGGAGTAGAGGGAAGAGGAAGGGGAGAGGAAGAGGGGGAGGGAGAGGAAGAGGGGAGGGGAGAGGAAGAGGGGGAGGGGGAGAGAAGGGGAGAGGAAAACAGGGAGAGAAAAGAGGGAAAGAGGGTGTGGGGATGATAGGAGATAAGAGGGGAGGGGAAGGCTTAACTGTTGATTATAAAAGGTATTTATGTCATACCTTAACCTGTAGTTATGTTGTACTTTGACCAGTTAGTAAGTGTGAGTAAGTCTGTGGTGAGTGAGGCTCAAGTCTCCCTCACTCGGCTACATTCACTCACGATGTATAATAAAATAATACAACAAATTTTAATACATTGTATTCATTTCCTGAAAAATTCTGGGCCAGTAACAAGTGCAAAAATACCCTGATGCTAGGGCTCTTCATCCAAGGACATGGAGCTCTGCTTTCTTTGGATTACCTGCTGCATGATCCCCTGCGAGTTTAACGCTTCCCCGTGAATATAACAATCTAGTGCCTCGCAATATTGAAGTTATTCACTTATTAATTACCCAAGCAATTAAATAACTGATGAGTTTCTGTGTGTACGTAGAGAGGAGTGGTTAGTGCTCTGGAGTATACCTGGGGTATACCTGGAGAGGGTTTCGGGGGTCAAAGCCCCCGCGGCCAGGTCTCAGGCCAGCCCTCGTGGTGGATTAGGGTCTGTTACTGCTGACCGCACGTAAAACGACGTACGAACTACAGCCCGGCTGGTCAGATACTGGGCTCACTACCGATGGGACGTGGGCTCGACCCTCTGAAACGAGGCGGAGGTATAAACAAATTTCTTAATACCTACTGCCCCTGGTACCTGCCAGGAAACAGGTACCCGAGTGTCAGTTGACTGCTGTGGGTGGCATCCTGTGGGAAGGCCTGAGAAATGTCCCAAGTAGAGAAAAAATACATTGACTTTATCGAAGTGTCCCGTAGCTGGGTTGGTAGCGCACTCACCTCACACACTGAGGTCCGTGGTTCGATCCCCGGTACGAGTGGAAACATTGGTACGTATTTCCTTAAGTCACCAGCTGTCCATGTCCACCTAACAGTAAATAGGTACCTGGGTGTTAGTTGGTGTGGGCCGCATCCTGGGGAACAAAATTAACCTCATTTGCCCAAAATGTGCATAACAAGGGGCTTCCTATATAGAATGTCACTGATGTCAGCTATGGTCTGTATAAGTACCGCAGGGTCCTATGTCTAGCGCACTGAAAGATGGACTACAAATCAGCCAGTAACAAAATAAGATCCATCCTGGACTTAGGTCCAAGAGACCACGTAGACCAGGATGAATCACAAACAACTGGATATGCTGAATGCTGAAGACAGAGTAAAACAACTGAAGTTAAATCACGTTTATATAACTGCTGTGTCCAGAATATCTTGCTGCCAAATTTGCCAATGATGGGAAGCCAAGGAAGTACAGTAGCAGGAAGAGGAAACAACTTTGTAGTGCCCACAGTGGTCAGGCTTCATATACATTTTATTGTACAGCAATAAAGCAGTGGAACGGAATGCCTGCACATGTCAAAG